AACCACTGACTTTCCAATTAACAATTTTATGTTTAACCAGAATACCACGAGGATGTCTCATTGACCTTTGGACTTACATATTCTTATTTTTATATTTCCATTTGACCAACTGACATTTCAAAACTCTTTTTTTCATTACTACCTATTCAGAACTGATTCATAGCTGACTCTCCAGTGGTTTTTCAGAGGCTATAAATTTCATGAAAGGAGATTGCCCATCTTTCTCCTTTGAAGCAGCAGGTGGATTTGGGCAACTTACCTTTGGGTTTGAATCCATTGGCTGCCCCATTGGAGAAGGATGAGCAATCTCCTTCCATGAAATCTACTACCTCTAAAAACCCTCTGGAGCTATGAGTCGGTTCTCACTCGGCGGCGTGCGATAATCACCACCACCTTTGGGTTGGCAGCACAGCTTCCTACCAAATAAGCCACTAAGTGATGTTCTATATCCTAAGGAAGTCCACTTCCCACCTAGCCAAACTTCACCACTCTCATTAAGTAGCATCATTACCTTCTGGTTACTTAACACGTAAGCCTTAGAATGGTTATGGCTTCTTCCTATTTAGAGTCCACCACATCTGACTACCTCTCGCTTCCATACATTTCCACTCACTTCCCCCAATACCACAACTCATGTCAACCTACTCTTATCTCTCCCACCTAACTAACTCAACATCATCCCCACAGTATTCCATGTTAGCTTTTTTGCAAACCTTCTTCTCAGATTTCATCCTCTGTACAATTAGATTATCTTTCTAAATTATAAACTAGTTCAGAGTTAAAACCCCTCTAGTGCCTTACTATTGCCAATTGAATTAAAATTTAAAAATTTTGAAACTTTGTCTCAATATTGTTTTCTCAGTGTTTTACCAGCATCCACCACTTAATCATCATCCAATTACCCCTTCATTTACTGAACACCTGCTCCACTGGCCTCCTCCTTGTTCATCAGATGTGCTAAACTGATTCCTGAATCCACTACATTTGTTGTAGTTATATTTTTCACACATTTATGCTGAATCCTCATATGTCTGCTCCCTTCTAAGTAGGTCTTAAATCAAATGCCACTCTTACTTAAAGTGAAGCTCCTTAACCATTTATACCTAGAGCAACAATATTCCTATCATATATCTTTCCTTTTCTGATCATTTTCTTAGCTCATGTAAGTATCTGAACTTGTCTTTTATGCTTATCAATTCATTGATTGCCTTCTCTTTACAAAATGTCAAGTTTGTGTGGTGTGGGTCTTCTGTTGTATACATTCCATAGGACAAAATCCTATACCAGAGCATGACACAGAATAAGAAAGATGTTAGTATTCCTCAATTGACATAACCTTTTGATAAGACAGTGACCCAGTTTAACATGAGAATTGGAGAGCATTATAATGACAGTTGACCCAGAGTTATCCAGGTTGGGATAAGCATTCATGCGTTCAGAGGTTATGACTCTTCTCTCTGTAGAAACCTTCAGAGGAATCATTATTCCTACCTAAGATTCAGTTGTTAGAAATCTTTTCTAACTTTCTATAATGAGAAGTCTTTCTAATTATGACCGCTCTTGCTATTTAATGTTTAATAATGTAATATACTCCAGTAGTAAGGATTTTTGTTTACTTGATGTTGAAATGTAATCCAGTTTAAAGGCTACTGCTAGTGTTGCTAGTACCGACTGAACCAACCCGTAGCTGAACCTCTGAGGTTTTCAGAGGCAGTAAGTTGCATGGGAGGAGATTGCCCATCCTTCTTCTACAGAGTAGCTGGTGGATTCACAAGGCATACCTTTGGATTGGCAGCACAATCCCTTCTGCAGCAGGAGTTTCGAATCTTCCCTTTCTGCAAGCAAGATTGTGTTATCTGCATAATCTGCCTCTTGCTGATGAGCCACACATCGCCATATAACCCAGCTACTAGAATGCTTTGCTCAGTATGCAGATTGAATAGGTATGGAGGAAGGATATGACCCTAACGCACATCTGTCTTGATTTTGAATCATGCCGTGTGCCCTTGTTCTGTTTTGTCAAGTGCTTCTTGGCCTACATATAGGTTTCATGTGAGTCCAATTAATTATTCTTCTTGATGTTGTCCGTAATTTGTTATGAAGAAGAACCAATGCCTTTGAATTGTGGTATAGGTGAAGAGTGTTGAATGTGCCATAGACTTCCAAAAGGAGAAACACATTGTTCTAGGGTGAGGTACAACCAGGGTGCTTATCGGAGGCAAGAATAATGAAAATTCATCTCATATTTTGGGCATGTTGTCTGGAGGATCTAGTTCTTAAAAAAAGACATTCTGGAGAAAGTTGGGGAAAAGAGAGGATGAACCTCAAAAAGACAGACTGACACTGTGACTGTATCAGTGGACTCAAGCATGATGGGGATTCTCAAGCATGGTAGGGACTGGGAAGATGTCACAGGATCGGGCAAGGTTCACATCTGTGGTTCACAGGATTGACTCCACAGCACCTAACAACAATAGTGATCCCTTGTTCTGTTCACAAACTGCTTCGTGGTTTCTGAATAGGTTGAGTTGACTAGGCTCCTGTATAGACAGAGAACAATTAAAAATTCTGGGATTCCCATTCTTCCTAATGTTTTCCATACTTTATTGTGGTGCACAAAGTCAAATGTCATTCCATAGTCAAAAATACAGAAGTGAACATCTTTCTGTTATTCTTTGCTTTAGCCCAGTTCCATCTGGCACCAGCAGTAATATCCCTCGTATCATGCCACTTCTGAATTCAGCATGAATCTCTTTGTGAATAATAGAAACTAAAAACTGTGTATGAATTTATACTGAGACCTTAACATCATTACTAATATGTTTCAAATTAATACATTGATTAAAAATTAGGTAACAGAATATTCACATTCGTATTCTACTCAATTCTATTCATTCTTAGGACATAAAAACTGAAAGCCAAACCTACTGCTGCAGTTGTTGTTGTTAAGTGCCACTGAGTTAAGTACAACTCATAGAGGCCTATGAACAGTCAGTCTGAACCCTGCTCTATCCTGGTTTCATATCCCTTATCTTTGACACTCTAGAGCCTATTGCTGAAGTCACCATGCCAGTCCATCTTGTTGGGATCTTCCTTTCCTTCACTGACAGTCCATCTTTCTCCGTATTATGTCCCTTTCCCAATTCATGATACCCCTCCATTGACATTTTGAGGCCCTAAATCTCTGTTTTCCTCTTGTAGAATGACTGGTGTATTCATACCACTTGTTTGTTAGTTTGCAGCCTAACCCACCACTTGAATGACACTTGGTACATAGATTTGTATTAAGTGGGTTTCTCTACGACACTGAACCAACATGTCACAAAATAGCATTTAGTTCAACATCATCTTTCTGTTTTAAAAACAGCATTTAGTTCAACATCATCTTTCTGTTTTAAAAACAGCATTTAGTTCAACATCATCTTTCTGTTTTATTTACACATGACATCACTGACTGGTGAGCAGCCAGCCATGGTGTGGCTGGGCAGATATGATAAATGATTTTCCATACAAGTTGAGTGAGAGCCCAGACTATGCAACCTTTTTCATACATGGCCTGGATAATAGAATAGATAGAATGTTCATTAAATTCATATTTGACAGAAAGCTAAGTAAGCCAAAGAGGAAAAGGAGCCAGTAATTTAATCAATAGAACTGGAATTTAATATAGCTTTAGCATAATAGACAAAGAAGTAGTAAATAATAAAATTTGGTACAATTGATTAAGAAGAAATTTTCTAACTCTATGATAGTAAACAATAAGTATATACAACTAAATCTTGTTTTATTGAGTTCTACGGACTGAAATACAGAGTATTTTTATTGAAATATCCAAAAGTTATTATCTCTTTATCTAATAACGTATAGAGAATTTCTCACATGATTACTTTCTCACATGATTACTTCCCACCAATATTTTAAAAAATAATTATTGACACTGCCCTTTTCTCTTAGAACCTAGGAGTCTTGGTTGTTGTTGTTGCTAAGTGTCATTAAGTTGCAAGTGCTATTATGTAAGTTCAAATTGAAGCCAAAGAAAATTAAAATGAGTCCACAGGAACCAAGATATGATCTTGAGTCAATCCCGTTTGAATTTCAAAATCATCTTAGGAATAGGTTTGAGGCATTGAAAAACAATGATTGAAGACCAGATAGGTTGTAGGATGATATAAAAGATGTCATCCATGAAGAAAGCAAAAGGTAATTAAAAAAATAATAGAAAGAAAAAATGGAACTGGATGTCAGAAGACAATCTAGAGATGCCAAAACAAAAGGAAAACACACTGAAGTAAAAGAACTGAACAGATGATTTCACAGTGCAACTCAAGAGGATAAAGCAAAGTATTACAGTGGAATGTGCAGATAGCTCTTCATTTCTCAAGCTGAGAGAACTGAAAAATAAATTTAAGCCTCAGGTCCCAATATTGAAAGATGTTATGGGCAATGTATTGAATGACTCAGAAAGCATCAAAAGAAGATGGATGGAATATACAGAATCATTACAGGAGTCTTTACTCCATATCATGTTTATGTGGTATTACTTTTTTGTTATTATGAGGTATTTGGATTATTTTCCTTTTTTCATTATTTTGAATTGAATTATTTGAAACTTGACTCTCCATTGGGTTTCTGAACCTGGAAATTGCATCAGAGAATATCGTATATCTTATATCCGCATAGTTGGTGAATTTGAACTTCCAGAGAGTTACCATATTTAGATTGACAGCATAACACCCAGTATATTATTGTAAAAATATTTTATGATTATTGGATTTTCCTAATATGAGTGAAACATTTTTGTTTGCAGAATTATTTTGTTACTGTTAATTGATTTCCATTGTAGTTCTTCTGTGAAGATGTTTGCTGACACCATTAGAATCTTTCCACCAGTAACACTTAAACTGACTGGTTTATTAATACTCTCGAGAATATCCTTCTAGGTCTATTGTTATGGTTCATGGTGGAATTCTATTTTAATATTTTTATTCTAATCTTTTCAGATTACTCAAAGACTGTCCTGGTTTTGTATTTACCCCTCGATCAAGGGAGGACCTTCCACCAAACTTTCCCAGTGAAATTCCTGGAATCTGCCATTTTCTGGATGCTTATCTGCAAGGATCAAATTCAAAGCCGTGGTTCCAAAAAAGAAATGACGAAGATGGCAATGCTAATTTTTTAGGCAAAGCATCCGGGGTAGATTAGAAAAATATATTGCTGAGTAAAAGTCTTCGGGGTTTGACTCTTTTGTGGCTGTCTGGACCCTCAAAAAGCACTTTAAGATCACAGATGGCTGAATCACAGCACTCAAGACCTTAAGGCACAGTCTAATTTTCGTCCCACTTAACAAGATAAAAATGCATTCACGTCAATATTTCAACTCTGCTGTTAAAAAGAAAGCCTCAATATTAGTGACTTTTTGAGGCTGATTCTGTTGTATAACAATCACCACCTGTACTTAGTTTAACACATTGTACATAGTATGACAATTGTAGTGAACTGTATGTAGTGACCGGGTGGCCTGTATTCTTGTGCTCTGGTGGAATGCTCTGTTTATTCAAGTACCTTTGTCATAGTGTTGCCTTACAAAAGCTTTATAAATAGAAATAAGAGTCTTTGATACTTTTAAGTTCTTTTCATTCTACATTTTATTATTCCATTTTTTTCATTGTCACTGTGAACATATATATCAAAGTAGATTCAACTGGTATTTTCTTGTTTTCTTTTTATCTTTGGAAAAGAAATCATTATGTGTTAGATACAATAAAAATATAAAATAGGCCTTCTGTAAATATAAAAATTATTTTTAGTTCTTGAAGTTAAAAATATTCATAGCATAATATGTTATAACAATAAATATTTGTTTTTGTTTGATATTCATATTTTATTTTCTGCAGGCTTCAGAGCTATTGTGCATAGGGGTCACTATGAGTCGCAGGCGACTCGATGCACATAACAAAAACATGGAAAATGTTACTTTAAGGAACTGTGTAGTAACGTTAAACACTTAACTGATAACTAAAAGGGTAATGATTTGAACCCACCATCAGACCTGTGGGGGAAAGTTACAGCAGTCTGTTTCCATACAGATTTACAGTCTTGGTCACCCATGGGGCAATTCTACTCTGTCCTGTAGGATCATTGTGAGTCAGAGTATAGCACAGAATATATTCATAAAAAAGAATTCTTAGGGCGCTCTGATAGCCTAGTGGCAAGAAGCTGCACTGCACTTCCAGACACACACACACACACACACACACACACACACACACACTCTTCCAGACACACACACACACACACACACACACACACACACACACTCACTCACTCTTCCCCTCAAGCTTCCTGTTTTGATTTCTGATGAATGATTGCTTTCTCTTAAACATTAGGAGGATATTTCTTTTATGAAGAATTTTATTTTAGAAAATAAGGAGGGGGTTTTGTTTGTTTATCTTTCACTAAAATAAGGGGAACCAGACAAATAATTTCTGTCATAAAAGATTGTAAGTTAATTAGAACTCAAAAAGTATTTTATAAATTCTAGTAAAGCGAAATGTAAATAATGTTGGGGAAAATGTTATGGAATTTCCTTGCACCATTTCTTCAGCTTTTCTAGAGTGTTAATAGATCATCTAAATTAAAAAGTTGCAAAAAATGTCTTTTTTCAGAAAAATGAAATCCTCTGTGATAGGGACCCATGCTACATTGCAAAGTTCTGTTAACCGTGGAAAACTTTCATGGAACCTGAACAAGATGGACATGATAACGTTTCCGTGACACAGTAAAGTCAAATTTCACAATTTGACCATGAAAAAGAAAATTTAGGGTTTTTTTGTTTTGTTTTGTTTTATTTCTTACTTCTGAGGGAAGAGATAAGGAAACATTTTCACATCTAGACAAGATGGTATAGACAGAGACCCTAGAGGACAGATTCAAGAGAAATTGAAGAACATAGGCAGAGCTCTAAACAGGCATGGAATTGAGAAGATAATTGATAGATAAAGTTGAAGCTAATTGGAATTGGATATTACTAGTTTAATTACCATGAAAAAGTAATGGGAGGATTTTGAAATGACTTCCTGATTAGGCCATTTCTCCTGAGAACTCTTGGTGGTTACTTCTTCTTGTTGAACTTTTATTGTCTCCATGCATGGTTCCAGTGCACAAATTAGCTATTCATTCATGCCTTTAGGTTGGCAGCACCTCTTACCCACTGAGCTCTCTCAGGGAAGCTCAGTGGGAGAAAGAATAGTGTCCTTCTTTGCCACTTAATATTCTCTGAAAACCCACTAGCTGTGAGTTAGTTCTGACTGGAAGCCCATAACAACAACTGAAAGCAACATTAATGCATATTTATAAAACAAACATAGAATTAAACTGACGTTGTCTGAAGATTTTTTAGTTGATAGGCAAAGGGAAGTGTGGAGTTAAATGTTCCTTCTCGTGTTAACCTGACCTTCTCTATTTCTATTGCATTCACTGCCATTGAATCAGAACCAACTTGCAGCTGACTCCAGCAGATTTTTAGAGGTTGTAAATCATGTGAGAGGAGATTGTCCATTTTTCTCCCAGAGCCACTAACGGATTAGAACTTCCAGGAGGTGTGGCCTTTGAATTTGCAGCACAACTCCTTCTATATCAGGCCCCCAGAGCTCCCACTATATCCATTTAAACTTCTAAAGACTAATAGAATCCTTTACTAATTTTCTTTTCTTTAACCATTACTTCATACATTATTGAACACTTGCTATGTATCAAGGATAATACTCTGATTTTAGAATGCAAAGGTAAATTGTGGCAGGTTCTACCAAGAAAGGAAATGAAAGGGCAAACCAAAACGTATGCAATTAGAAAGTTACTGTAATTAGGAGCACAATTGGAAATAATGCCTTTAGAACTCTCTTAATCCTAGAAAGAAAGTTCAGGGGAAATAGAGTAAGATGTGGTTTGATCAAGGAAGCGTGTGCAGGCACACAGAAATGACGTCTTGGAGGTGTATATTACAGTCCAGATAGCCAGCTGTCAAGGACGAAGAGGTAATGGACATGAAGACCAATGAGGAAAATTATAAAGGAAGCTTCATATTCATATCTACGTGTTTTGTATCTTAATTGACATTATTATAAATTATTCATTCCTTTGGGCTATCTTGTTAAAAATAAATTTTACTGAGAAAAGTGGAAGCAAAACAGAAAAAGCAGATCTTTCTACTTCTGCTTTTCTCCCCCAATGCAGTTTTAAAACCACTGACAGAAAAAAAGAGAAATGAAATATTAAACCAAGAGAACTGTAAGATCAGATAAATGTTTTGAAAGACGATGTCAGAAACATCATAAATAATGATGGAAGTTTACCTGCATGAATGGCTAAATTAGCATTCAGCCCCACTGGAAAATAAATCATGCTGTATGTATTTTACTTCCTACAACAACAAACCACTACTGTTGAGTCAGTTCTAACCCTCAGCAGCCATACATGTAATTCCCAAGTCCATAAAGCTTAATGAGAGGAGACCAAGACAGCTCCTCTTTCTCCTCAGGTCTTGCTGGTGAATTTGAACCATTGGAATCGGTTGTTCAGCCCTTGGTTAGCTGAGCCAACCAAACGTCCTACAGACCATACCACCAGAGCTCCTTAGCTTCCTTCACCTCAAGTACAGAGTAAAGCTTGATGTCTGTCATTAATTGTGCAACAATGAATGAATATTTTAAAAGGAACTGGGAAGGGGGGAGGAGTGGAGGAAGGTGGAGTAAACTGTGCAACAGTGAATGAATGAAAATCCTACTTTTCTGTAAAATTTAGTTAAAATCACAATGAAAATAAAAATTTTATTAATAAAAAATATCATCACTCTTAAGGATGTTAGTTCTTCAGATCCATTGATAAAGGGGGGGAAAATTTGCTTCAAGGTTTTCATTAGACTTTATTCACAAGTACCCTCTCCCTCTTGCAAATCCAGATCCTTGTCTAGTCTTTTCTCTTGCCTCAGGTTACAAGTAATGACAGGTCAAAGCAGAGTGTGAGATGTTTTCACACACTTACAATATGTTATTGCTAGGTGCCTGTCAAGTTGAGCACAACTCTTACATAGCGACTATGAACAATAAACGGAAGCCTGTCCTATCCTGTGCCATCCTCACCATTTCTGACACAGTTGAGTCCTTTGCTTCAGTCACTGTGTCTGTCTCGTTCGGAGTCGTCCTTTCCTTTGCCGGTTCACCACTTTTCCAAACATTATGTTCCTTTCCAAGAAATAACCTCATCTAGCAACATATTGCGGGGGAGGGGCGGAATATGAAGTTTCACCATCTTTGCCTCCAAGGAGCATAAATACTCTTACTTTTAAATATAATGTTGTTGCTGTTGTTGATTTCTGTCAACTCAAGCGTAACTCATAGCAACCCTATTAACCAACGGCATGAAGCCCTTCTACAAACTACCATAATTTACCAAAGTTGATAGAGTTTACAGAGCCATGTTGTTTAGGAAATGGACTATTGATATACTGCATATGAAAAACAACATTAGAAGAAAAAAAACAGAATTGGTTGCTGTTGGGTTGATTCTGACTTTCAGGTTTCTGAGGCTGTAATCTTAGCTGGAAGCGACTGTCCATTTTTTCCCTAGGTGGCCATGGCTAGCAGTTCAACATGGTACACACTGTGCCACAGAGCTCCTTACTGCATATTCATAAGATTTATATTTAAATAAGCAGAAAATATATAAAAAGAAAATCCAGTATTTTCATCACTTACTTCAATGAATCATCCATCACTTCAGAAACTGCTATAATCAATCATTAGAACTTCAGTTTCCCTGAGCCATGTATCACCTTGAGGATTGGATAAAATGTAAAGGATTCAGAATACTGTTTCCTAAAAAAATCCAAAAACAAACAAAACCCCCACACACGCACACACACACCCCAAAACAATTACATGCCTATTACAGGCTATAAGACTTTTATATATTTTTGGAGTTTCTTCTAATTTGTGAATTTGATTCCTAGACCACTCCAGAACAGTACCATATATCCTTAGTCTACAAATTTACCGTTTAAAGGGGAAAAGCAGTAAGGAAGAAGAAAATAAACAGAAATCTGTAACATTTAGTTTAGATGAATGTACCTTTTCTTTTTTTTCCACAGTATGCATTATTTATTTCTCCTTTGTCTTTATATGGATTCTTCTCCCAAATTTAGGCTGCTGGTATTTTTCTGGGACTTTCTATAAATATTTTAATTTATTATGTCCAGTCTCTCTCCTTTTTTATTTGTTTTATGCAGGTTTAGATATGAAGTTCATAAACTTTGTATATATACGTTTTTCACACTGTATTTTTCTCCTTTCCTTTGCTCATCCCTCCCTCCACCCATCAAATTGTG